CTTGGCTGTGCCCGGCTAAAATTTTTGCCTTATATGAAATAGGGTCTTGGAAAGAAAAAGCCAATATCATAATTTTCAAATTTGAAAAACAGGGTAATTCCACAAATGAAGAAAGATATCTTTTCAAAAAAAATATGACAGAAGTAAGAGAGAGGAGAGAGAGAGAGAGAGAGAGAGAGAGAGAGAGAGAGAGAGAGAGCATTTTCTGCTTAAATATTCAAAGGCAGAATATGACATATAAAACAGAAATTTCCAATTTGAAAAAAAAAAAGTAACATGTACTTGGAAATGTCCTTGTTTTCTTACTTGTATACCTGAATAGTCTAGTTTTTAAAATGCATTTAACAAATGCAACACAGCTCATTCAGGGTTGATTTGAGTTCACAAAATAATTTTATTAGATGTAAGAAAGCATACAGGCAGCAAAATGAAAGAAACACTCACAGTACAGAAGTCACAGACCCGATGCGGGAGGGTTTTCAGCAGATGTCTGTCCTTTGTACCAATGTCATCTCCGTATCAGTCAAATGCTTATCTGGAGAAGACTGTAAACATTTCCACATCCCCACTGGGACCCCCACACTAGCCAGGAAGGGAGCAGCTGGGGAGGCTGTGGTGGTGCTTTCCACAATCCAGGTGTGACAGGATCCCCAGGCTCAGAGAAAGGAACATCGTTTGTGAGCAGGGCCGCTGTGGCTTAGGGGCACTTAACACCGAGAATGAGGCACTGCTCCTTAATTAGGATACCATTAACATTTAAAGACCTTTAAAAAAAAATGGGTCCTCCACTCAGATCAAAGCACACAAAGGGAGGAGCCCGATTGAGCAGTTGGGTTTGAGCTGGGAAGGTGAAGACACAGGGTTCCAGCTGGGTCCGTTGGTGGGGCGGCTGCGACACAGAACCCAGCAAACTGTCCTCCTGCATCATTCCACCTGGGACAGCCATTTGGCTCAGAAAAGCTCTGGGACACACAAGCAGAGCAGTGAGAGGAGCCCAGAAGCCAGCTATTTTACATAAATACAAAGCCTCCTGCACCTCCCAGCCGCCTAAGAGGTATCCGGAGGGCTGAGCTGGCCCCTCGCAACTGCAATCGCTCCTGGGACCAGCCTTGGCCACGTTTTAAACACACGAGTAGCTATGCTTTTTTAAAAAATTTCACAATCTTTTTAGACTAAAAAATAGCCTTCGCAGCATTTGTCCTTCTCACCTTGGATTTACTCAAGTCCCTGCATCCTAAGGGACCATCCCAGCTGCAGGTCCTGTCAGTCTGCGCTGGTTCCAGAAGTTGCTCATGAGCCTGTGCAACCTCACTCTGTGTTTGCTTCATTGTTTTTTAAAGTGCTAGTTCAATGGACAGTTCAAGCTCAGATAACTCGAGTGTATCCTATTAAATATGATAAATATAGATTTATTATGGTAAATTCAAAATATCCATATAATACAATAAATAAATAAAACCAATATCAACAAAACATCTCTCCATTCTGAAAAAAAAAAGCATTGTCATTCCTACTGTAAGGCTCGGTTATTTTTTAGAAATGATTGATGAAGGCATGCACCTACCTTTACAATCTGAAAACTTTGCTTGGAACAGTTTTAGCACCTGTTTGTATACAGCAAACTCAACCCTTCGGAAAGCTTTGATTTTAATGAAGCTGTTCATTGCTGATTCTTTGCCCTATTTTTAAAATCCTAAGATAAGTTTCAAAAATGATTCTGAAGCCAAAGACATGTCCCTGTTGGCTCCCATGTATCCCTGTTTGATGGGCAATGAAAACCACGGAAAATACAGTGGAATGTATTTGAAAATAAACTTGGTTGTCTGTTCAAAAGGGCAGAGGTCCCCCTGACGTCTCAGTCCCACCAGACCTTAGCAGCAACCCCCAAAAAAAATCTCCTCCAGCTCTCAGATTGCCTGCGCGTGGCTGGGCTCACCCAGGAGCTCAGGTTGGATGCTGTCCATTGTGTGTGGTGGGCTGGATCTTCTCTAGAGAGACATCAGTGTCATAGTCCAATATGACTGACAGGGCTGGGGACAGCCTGTCCAGTGGTTTGGCTATTCCGCCTGCCTCCTCCTTCTTCAGGTCCTCAGAGGACCCCACAGCATGTGGGATCAGGTAAACCAGATTGCACTCCTTGGAGATGGAGCCTCGAGGTTCATGATGACTAGAAAGCACCACGGCCCCATTGTTATTGATGCTAACTGTCTCTATGGCATTACCCGATGTAGGGCACAGCCTGTAGCATCCTAAGAGAGTGGAGAATGCCTTCTGAAAATCAGCATTAAAGGCATAAATGATGGGGTTCAGGGAGGAATTAGCCCACCCAAACCACACGAACACATCAAAGGTGATGGAATCGATGCAGAAGGGCTGGGTCTCCTCAGACCCACAGAAGGGCACCATGCAATTTGAGATGAAGAAGGGGAGCCAGCAGCAGACGAACACCCCCATGATCACGGACAGGGTCTTCAGGACCTTAGTCTCTCTCTTGAAGGACATCTTAAAGGAGCTTTCTGATTGAGAACACTCGACAGGCTTCCCATTCCCTGTGGTGGTCTGGCAGTTCTTGGCGTGGACCGCTGCCCTCTCCAAGGCTGAGATGCGCCGTATTTGTTTCTGGGCGATCCTGTAGATACTGGTGTAGGTGACAATCATGATGGCCACCGGGATGTAAAAGCTTATCAGGGAGGATGAAATGGCATATGTCCTGCTCAATCTGGTGTCACAGTTGTCCTCGGTCTCTTCCAGGAAGGTGGCATTGCCATCGGAGGGGCTTATGGGCTTGGCCTTGTGCCAGCTGAGCTGCACGGGGATGAAGGAGATGAGGACAGACAGAGTCCACGCCACACTGATCAGAATGAAGGCTGCCTTGGGAGTCATCTTCCTCTCGTACTGGAAGGGGCTGGAGATGGCCCAGTACCTGTCCACACTGATCACACACAGGTTGAGGATGGAGGCAGTGGAGCACATGATGTCAAAAGCCACCCAAATGTTACAGAAGGACCCAAAGGGCCAGAAGCCAGCAATTTCAGCCACAGCTTTCCAGGGCATCACTAAGACAGCCACTAAGAGGTCTGACACTGCTAGAGAGATGACGAAAAAGTTGGTCACCTTGGATCGCAGGTGTCGGAACCTGATGACAGCAGCACAGACCAGAGTGTTTCCCAAGAGAGTGGACAGGATGAGCAGTGACAGGAAGCAGGCTGTGAGGATACGGAAGGAGAAGTCCCTCTCCACCACCAGCCCGGCACCATCCATGGTGGAAGTGTTCAGAGCCATCTTCCAGAAGGAGAGAGCCTCAGGGCTGCGACACCCCTCCAGTTCTTAAACAGGGATGAGGGTCGGTCAGACCCCACTGTTCCACTCACCAGTGGCTCCCCTGGCAGAGAACCTCACCAGCATTCCATCAGAGAGGGGCAGCAGGAGCTTCAGGGGGAGTCCAGGGCAGCCCCCTGTCCCTTCCCGCTGTTCCCTTAGCTGTCTTCTGACTCCTTCACTTCAGGTCACAGTCACCACCACCACCAGTTGGCCCCTAAATTCCCCAAGGAAAGCACTGGCTTTTTAGCACATATTCTAAGTCATCCACCCTGAGACTCCCAGGCCTCTGCTGTGCCAGTCAATTGCAGTCACAGTTCCGGGTTGCAGCCTCTCTGGTGGGGACAGAGAATTCTCCTCTTTTGAGACGCAGATAAAAATACATGTCTTGTTCCTCCAAGCCCCTCTCTCTCCTCTGCAGCTCTCTAAACGCCCTAAAAAGCAAAGGAAAAACACAGTCGTTCTACAAGACTTCAGCAGATCGCATCTTTGCTCACTGTCAAACCCAATCCAGTCATTAGCTGGGCGACCCTGTCAAAGCCACCTACCTTGCCTTGGATCCTCTCTCTCAAAGCCCCCGGAGCTCGGAAAGTGGACTTCGCAAGGCGCCTTGACTCCACAAAGCCCAGGAAGCGCGCCAGAGTCCGACCAGCCGCTCGCAGCGGGAGTTCGGCTCCGGCTGCGCAAAGATTGCCGGGGCGGGTCAGTGAAAGGGACCCTGGGCCAGGCCCCAGGAGGGGAGGCGCCGCCCCGCTGTCAGAAGCCCCTAGAGACAGTTCCAAGCGACTGGAACCAAGAAAAGGGCTACCGGCTCCTGAAGCTTCCCTGGGAGAGGGCACCCCAGGACTAGTCCCTGGGGCAGTTTTGCTCCCCCCCTCCTGCAGCCCAGAGCCTGGGCGCCCTGGGGCGGCCTTCACCCCCTCGGGGAGGACCCTGAGCCTCCTTACAGCGCTGCCCACTGCCTCTCAGGAGGCTGTGGGAACGCGAGGCACAGAGAGCCGAGCTGGCACGGGCAGGCACTCAGTCCGGCTGGGTTCCCACGGGGCACAGCCCTCCCGGCCCCCGCGTTCCCTCCCCTGCCCTAGGGGCGGGCTGCGCTTGACAGGCAGAGTTGGGTGACAGCCACACGTGGTTCCCCTGGATGATGCTGCTGCAAAGGGGGTGGGTGACGCCCAGGTGAGCGCTTGCGCTCACTGGTTACCTGGCCAGTTCCTGGACCCCTGGACTGTACGCAGCAAGGCCCTCGGGACAAATCCCAACATGAAAACCTCAAGTAACCCTAAGTCGCCTGTACGCGAAGCTTGGCCTGACGTCCCACGCCTCTAGGGGTCAACCTCAAACTCGACCCAAAACCCCGAGCCAGAGCCAGTGGCTTCCCCCACGCACGCCAAACACAACCACAGGCGCGCTCGTCCCCCCAGCCGCGTCCCAGCGCGCCGATCTAGCCTGCGACCTGTCGGGGAGGCGCGGGTACTCACCGCGGTCGGGAAGCGCGGCGCTCTGGCGGTGCGGCTGCGCCCGGAGGGCGCTGGCTTCGCGCGAGAGCCCAGTGGTTCGCGCATCCCAGGCTGCGGTCAACGCCGGTCTGCAGACGGTGCCGGTGGCCCGCGAGCGCCCAACCCGAGCGCCACGCGCTCCACTGCGTGGGCCCGGGGCGCCCTCTGCCGGCGCCTGCGGCCTCCCGAGCCCGCAGTGCCTCCGGGTCTCGACCTCCCTCGCCTTGGCCCGGAATCTGCAAAGGACCAGCGCCTCCTTCTGTTCCTCCTGGGCGGTTACTGCCTGAAAACCTGGGCAAGGGGAGGCGCCATCTCCCTCACTTGGTACTCCTCTGCTTGAAATACCCCTAAAAGCCGATAAGGACGGGAAGTTCCTTCGGCTGGTTCGCCATTCGTGAACAGGTGTCCTCCGGTGTCCAGGTAAGCTAGCGGCAAACCTGACTCTCAGAGAGAAGAGACAGGCATTTGCTGAGCAGCCTGTGTCCCAGACACCGTCCTGATGACGTTCGGTTCTGTACCACAATCCCTGCACCTAGGACGGGTCAGCTCCGCTTGGCAGGGTAGGAGAGGGTGCTCCGGAGGTGCAGGCGCCAGGCCAGGGCAATTTCCAAAGCTAAGGAGGCACCCAGCCTGTGGCCTGGCCTCTGCCTGAGTGTTCTTTCAAATTAACTGAGTCTAGAACCAGAAGCCACAAACTAATAACTACCTAATGTAGTGGACAGAGCAAGATGCTCACAGGAAGGCCTGGTAGAGCTCCCAGGATTCCTTGTCACCCCCCAGCAGTGCCTCACAGGTCAGGATTTGCACTAGTTGTGCAAAAATGGAGACATCATGGTGCCTCCCTGTGTTCACATAAGCCTGGGGATGGGAAGTCACACTGCCTAGATTTTTGTCCCTATGATATAATAGGGTGATTACAAGTCTTAAATGAGATGCTGGTTGCAGAAAACATGGGGCCAAACCTGGGATCTAGTCAGCCCCTCCTGGGCAAGGAACTTCCAGGAATCCTAAAATAGACGTGAGTATGTATGCTCTTACCTCCATGATCACCACACACCACAGGATTTTCTCTGTAAGAACCTTGGACCTAGATGATAATTCTACCTAATGAATCTGTACCCACTACCTCTGGGTTTTAGATGAGGGACCGCATGAGTGACAGACTCCTTTGCCTGTGCTTATCACTTTGTCCTGCTTCCAACAGCCTTAGTGTCACATGCAGGGCCCCAGACATAATCACATGGAATTTTTTCCATATACATGCCCCAAGAACCACATTCCTTAAGTGTGTATAATGGGACCCTTCCAGATCATTTAGTTAAGGCAGGCCTTCTCCAGGCTTCTTTATGCTTTATTTCATCTCTCTTTCCTTTTTAGGAATAAACACAAATTAAAGGATGTTTCTAGTTCAAGGCATGTGAGCCCAAGTATGTAGCTCCCCACATTCTCCTCATCCTGAAGTTTCTACTAACATTGCCCAGAAATAAGCAGGGTGGAGGGGGCAGATTCAGCACCTTGGAAAGCTGGGAACTTTGGGATAAAAGACAGCAGACAGGAAAGGGCTGAGACTCCCTTGCTTATTCCTGTGGGGAGGGAAAGCTTCTCAGGACCCAGGGGCAGAAACCCCCAAAGAACAGGCTACCCACCCCTAGATCAGGGCAGCAGGGTCTGCAGGGCAGGATGAGACCAAGTTGGGGGATGAATGTTCTGTGTAATGGCAGTCCTTGAGAATTGCCCCCCTCCCACAAAGACCCTGCAACACCCGATACTCTACCCACCTGAGCCAGGTCAACCACAGAGAGACTGAGTCTCCAGGGGCATTGGACTCCGCAGCACCAGCTCAACAGGCAGAATATACCTGCTATAAAGCATCATTATTGACCAAAATCTTGCAGAAAGAAAATGCCATTCATAACACACTTCATGTCTGCGTCTGTCTTAAGCTGGGCAGTGTTTCAAAAGGAATTCTCTTTCATTGCTGGAAAAATCCTTGACATTCTTTCAAACCAGCTCATGCCAATCTTTGCCTTTTTCCCTCACCTGACAGGTCCAAGTAATCAGATCAACAATGTCACTTGTGTAGTGGATGAGACATACTTCCAACCCCAAGAAAATTTGTCATTTTTAATGTCAGAATATCAAATCTCTTTAGCATACAAGAAAGACCCAGAAAGCCAGGCAGCAAATAGAAACTTGTGAACGCAAAGAGAGGCTGGGGGAAATCCAGGAGAAGAAGAGCGTTGGACTATTTCTCTACATCTCTATAATTCAAAGACAGACACCTGAGATCCCTTTCTGCCAGATGTAGGTCCCTGGACTTTGAATATAATAGTGGAGGGAGGAGGAAAAAGTAAAATGCAGCTAAAATGTCAGGGTTTCTATAAGGTCTTTGCTTAGCATCTGGATGGCCATCTTAAGTGACAGCTGCCATTTTAAGGGAAAAGTTTCGCTTTCCCGCCCAAGGGCATTTCTGAGAAAGGCTCACCATGCCCTCATACCAACCCCACCCTTAACTGCCCACATTAGGACCTGCCCAGCTCTAATTCCTGAGCCTGCCCCATAAAAGTCCCAGAAGTAAAGCTTGTGTTGCCTCTCTCTCCTATAGAGAGATGGCCTTAATTGTCAGCTCTGACAAATAAACTCTTAGGTAGGTCTGCCTGGTCTCCATCTTTCACTTCTCACTCTCCCATCTCTCATTTCTCATTTTCCCTTCACTTTCACTTTGCACAGAGTGTGAATTTCAGAGGAACTCACAGTTTGGCTAGAGATTTGGAGGTTTTTCTGATTTTTCTCCCTTGAAGCAAGGTAAAGCACAAACCTTTCATTTCATTCTGTAAAAGTCTCCCCACAAAGCCTCAAGCTCAGGACTCTTAAATGCAGGCAGGTATTAGCATCAGCTCTCCCCAGGAGCAAGGACCCACACAAAACACCTTTGTTCCTGGGATTGGCATGTCTTTTGAGCTCTGCCTGGTGATTTATGCACCACGAGGGTGTGAGGTTAAAAGGCTGCTTTTCAACAGATTTTTATTCGAGGTTTGTAAAAGTCAATGGATACAGAAGGCACACTATCCAAGGGGGAGCTCAATCTTATAAAAGAATAAATAAAACAGCGGAGCTGTCAAGTGTCTCTGATGATCTTTGTAGGTGGGTTCAGGATTTTTAAAGCTGACTTCAAGCCCAAAATGACTGCTTATAGTGTTGGTGAAAAGAAGCGCTGGGCTCACCCCGAGTAACTAACAGAACTGCAATGCTTCAGAGGATGAATTTAAGTTGTTCTCCAAAATTCCCAATCCTGTGTCCTGTTTTCCTCTCCTATAGTTATTATTGCCATTCAAAAATCAACATCTAGGTTGTTTAAAGCCATTCAAAAATCAACACCTCAGCTGGCAGCAGTGGTGGAGAGATAGCGGCCTATGCCACGTGTCTCCCATTGTGACATCTTCCTGTCCTCATGTTTTTTCCTGCCCCCTGTCCCTTCTATAAAAGTGACTGAGTAGGGTTTGGTTTTGTTTTCTTCTGCTTTTTGGTTTGGGGCAATGCTGGGACCAACCCAAGGCCACTCGCTTGCTAGGCAAGTGTTCTACCAGTGAGCTGCACCCCGCCTCTAAGTAGTTTTTAAACCGTTTTGTTTTCTCCCCTATTGGCTTATTTTCTGTGATTCTTGGTTATAGTCATAGTTGCTGTAGAGTTTTGTTGTGACTTGGATCTGGAATGTCCCTTGAAAGCTACTGAAGACTTGGTCCCCAGTGCAGCAGTGTTGAGAGGCGGGGCTTGGGGGAAGTGATTGGACTGTGAAGGCTCTGACCTCATCAGTGGGCAAGTCCATTTGATGGATCAGTAATTTGAATGTCCTCCTGGGAGGAGGTGCAAACTGCTGGAAGCCCATTATGGTTGGAGGAAGTAGGTTACTGGAGGGAGGGCCTTGGGGACTACCTCTTGTCCCTGACATCCACCTGTCTCTCCCCATTCCCCATTCCTAACCACAAGGAGGTGGGCAGCTCTGCCACAGGCTCTCTACCATGACATTCTGCCTCACCATAGGCCCAGAAATGAGGGAGCCAAGTGACCACAGACTGAAGCTTCTAAAACTGTAAGCCAAAAGAGCACTTTCCTCCTTCTAAGTTGATTTTCTCAGGTATCTTGTCACAGTGATAGAAAACTGACGGACAGATTTTACATCTCATAGAATTAAATATGCAGATATTTACCTTCAAGTGATAGGATACCATTCCATGAGTAGTTCAGAATGTTACAAGGGCATTCTTTTTATGTCCTTTAAAGCAGTTAATTATTTTTAAAGAAATCTAAGGAAGGAGAAATAAATATATATTTCCCATGTACTATCTCTGACGTTCTTCCTTCTTTGCCGTAGGTCCAAGTTTCCATCTGATTTCATCCACCTCAAGGACTACCATCAACATTTCTTGGAGTTCCTTCTGCTGGGAACTGATTTTTTTTCAGCTTTGGTGTCTCTGAAGTTTTTCGCTGAGCCTTCATTTTTTAAAGCTGGGTCTTCCAGGTATGGCAAGCTAGACTGAAGCGCTCCTGCAGGTGTGCTCAGGCGTGGCCCGCTCTGACTCTCCAGTGAGAATCTGCCCCCAGCACTCCTCTGTCCATCACGTGGTGTCTCCTCTGGCAGTTTTCAGACTCTGTTCCTCGTCACTGACGTGGGACAATCTGCTCAAGATGTGCCTTGGTTTGGTCTTGTTCACCCTGAATTGCTGGGAATTTGTTGAGATTTTCTGTACCAATGAGCTGACTGTCAACTTTGGAGATTTGGGGCCATTATTTCTCCCAGTATTTTCTTTTCTTGCCTTTCCCTGTTGGCGTCTCAGCACAAGTGCTCGAGCTGGTCTGCGGCTCAGGACGCCACCTCTCTTTCCGACTCCCTTTTCTCTTCGTTTTGGAGAGTATCTGTGGCCATTTCTTTGAGGTAACTAGTATTTTTCCTCTGCAGTGTCTGATCTCTTGCTAAGATGTAGTTCTGTTTATTCTCTCAAAGTTCATTTAGTGCCTTTTTATAGCCCCCGTCTCTCCTGGCCTCTCTGAATACATGACATATAGTTAGAGTAACTATGTTAATGTCCTTCTTTGCTAATTCTAACCCTTGCTCAACTCTGATGATTTTTCTCCTCAGATTTGTCTAATTCTCTTCATGCCTATCGATTTTTATTGGAATTCACATATTGTTGATTTTATCTTGTTGGATGTCATCTCTTTTTGACATCCCTTATGAAAATTAATGAGTTTTGCTCTAGAACACAGTCTAATCCTTGCAGGTCTTGCTTTGGGTATTTATTAGGCAGGTCTGGGCAGTGCTTTGTTGGGGCTGATTATTCTGCACCACTGGGCCAGGTTCTTCTGTGTGATCAGTTTCCCTGAGGCATGAGGTTTTCCGGTCTAGCTGGTGGCGACAGACACTGTTCCTGGCCTTGGGTGGATGATACATCTGGTTCCCTCTGGTGGCCACCCTGTTTCCTTGCTCTGGTGTGCTGGCTAGTTCCTGATGAGACTCAAAGGTGAGTCTGAGATCTTTGGAGCTTTCTCTGCCTCACCCCACGGTCTCCAGTCCAGTACCGTTGCACAGCCTCAGCTGGCCTGCCTGTCCCCCCGGACTCAGTGTTGTTTCCTCACTCAGGAAGGCTAACTGACTCCCCTGTGTCCTCCCTCCCTGACCTCAGCCTGTGTAGGAAACCAGGACAGCTGAGCTCATCTCCCTTGCCTCCTGTCTTTGGAGGATCGCTGTCTTGGTGCCTTGTGCCCAGGATCTTGAAGACCAAGTTGTAATGTGGTGTGTCCTGCTATCCATTGTTCCAGGGGGGAGAGGTAAATTCAATCCCTGTGACTCCATCTCGTCTGAAGCAGAGATCAGGAAATGTCTCCACTTCAAAATTTTATTCTCAACATTTTAGGTTTTAAATCTAAAAAGGCAAAGGAATCGAGGCAGACCAGGAAAATCAGGATTGGCCAAGGAGAACAGCTCGGCAATATTAGCTTCCCTGTGGTTTTGTTGGGCCCTGTCTGCCCTTGAGCCAACTCGCACACTGGCCGTGCCTCTGCCTTGGCTGGTGTCCCCTTCCTCATCCACAGCCCTCAGTCTTAGGAAATGCCTGGAGTGCACCAAGCCCAGCTGAGCCTTTTGGGGTTGCAGTCACACCTTTAGCAGGGCTGGAAGGGTCCCACGCCAGCCTGCATTCCAGAAAAATGCTTGGGGGCCTGTTACCTCTGGCTTCTCTTCCTAGCACTAAGTTGACAGCAGTAAATTCAACAGCATCCTAATCCTCAGAGTTTATATTTTAGTTGTGAATGACAGATACCTTTTGCACAAATATATATATATATATATATATATATAAAATTGCCATGAGTTTCAATTTTGTTGAAAAAAAATTAATGCACTTACTAGCAAAACCATAACTTGCGGCAAGAAAAGAGACAGTCTAGTTCACACAAATTGCTTAGATTGTGATACAATCTATTCGAGGACCTTAGAGAGTCTTCTCTAGACCATTTATTGAAAACATGAAGCTCAGGGGAGAGACTGGAGGAAAACAAACAGACAACAAACCAGCAAGTGCGGAAGTAGACTCAGGCTAGGGGTCAGTGCTGGTCAGAAGCAAAAGCTGCTCTCGCGTCTGTGGGGCTCAGGAGGTGACACCCTTCAGCTCACCAGGGGAATCCTGTGCCCAGGCCTTCCCCCACTCCAGCTTGGTTCTCACTTCTCCTCCCCTCAACAGAACTGCCTTCTATTCCAAGCCGGCTCCAGGTGTCCTAACACTGTGAGACAGTGGCCGGCCTCAGGGGGACCACCTGGGCGAGACACACCTGGGCTAGAAGGGCGGCTTCATTAATGTCTACCCAGGGGCCGTAGCCAGGCTTCTCCATCCTGCTGGCCTCCAGTTCCACCCCCAGAAAAGCGAAAGTTACTATGTGCCCCATAAGATTGCTGGCAAGTGAGGTGACTCCCTGTCTCTGAAAGAGGAAGTAGGCACAGATCAGGAGATGTCATGCTTGGACCTTTTGTCTTGCAAAGGCTGCCCAGCAGGTATCTGTCCGTTTTGCCAGCCAGGCATCCACTTTTCTGGTGAAAACATCCCGGTTCCTGGGAATAGCCTGCTCTTTATTGGATGCATTCTGGTGGTCTCACCATTGCATGCCCACCCTAGCTGAGGGGCAGATGTACTACCTGAGAAGGTGCACCAGGCACTTCCTCCATGAGTTCTGAATCCCAAGCAGAACAGAGAGGATTAAGATACTTGATTGGAGGAGATGTCGTTCCTCCCGTCATTGTCCTTCCACCCCTGAGCAGGCTGCTTCTGCTAGGATACTGTGCAGGCAGCTCTCGCTTCCAGAAGCTCCCATGCTTTATCCCCTGTTCATTCCCAAGCCTGGTGCTTCAGCACCCTGTCCAGCCACAGTCAACTGTATCAGTTACAAGTGGATCCCATGTGATCAGAAGGAGGAAGAGGAAGCCTGTCTGACTCCAAAAATCCTAATTTCTCTGTGGTAAAGAATGTCTTTATATGGTAGTCTATTTTTCAGTTGATATAACAAAAGAACTGAGATGGGGTACTTTATTTTTTAAGAAAGGTTTATTTAACTCCCAGTTCTAGGGGTTCAAGAGCAGGGAACTGGTGTCTGGTTTGCTCTGGCAAAGGCCTTCTGGAGGGCATCAGGTGGAAGCATGTGAGAGAGAAGAGCCCAAAGAAGACAGGAAGTCAGAGGATCGGGGCCAGGCTTGCTCTTTTGTACAGCTCCTGCTTGTAGGGACTCCCGGAGTCCTGTGAGAGCTCCTGATCTCTTCCAAGGGTGACTCCCCTCCCCCGCCAAGCCCATGACTTCCCATGAGGCCCCTGCCTGGACTTATCATTGCTATTGTAGAGGTAAAATTTCCAAGCTGATTCTAAGCCGCAGAGCCTGAGTTAAAGTGTAAAAGACCAGGCATCCTAAAGTTTCCAAAGTGCAGGGATTGGGTTAAAAAGTAAAAGACTAGGTATTGTTAGAGTCCCTCTGCTACCCCCAAAACCTGTAATCCCTGTAGCTGTTAGGACAATACTGGAACTGCCCAGTAAATATTTCCACTGACTTTCTGGTTTTTTAATAGCTAAGGGTTCTGAGTTGCTTGGCACGTAGGCATTGCAGGACCTAAACCAATCAGTTTGAATGTGTACCCCACTTAGGAGCACCAATCACCCCTGTCCAATCTGTTCCCGCCAATGTATGCACTAATCCTGACTCAGGGTTGTTGTTCAATTTTCCCGCGCCTCATGATGATTTGTTCTGATGTATGCAAAGCCCACGGCCCTCTCCAGAAAGTGTACTTAAGCTCCGCTTGAACTCTGCTCTGGGCTCTGGGCTGCTCTCCCTTCTTGAGTGAGCACAGAGTCCCAGCGCGCTGGAATGGATCCCCAGTAAATCCCCTTTTGCCAATTGCATGGAGTCAGTCTCTTGGGTGGTCTCTCCCTCCGACGTTTCGACAGACCCTTACACTATGAAAAATAGATGTGTTAATTACTTAAAGGCATAAAAAACAGATTCACAAATGGAAACAAAAGTCACTTGTGGGGAGCCATTCTCACATGTGACTGGGCAACTCCCGGTTTGGGTCTGAGGCACTCTGGCTAACTGTGTCGGAGCTTTCCTGACCCTCTCCTGGTGTGAGAGCCTGTCCTTATGGGGGTGTGACTGACCACTGACCCCGGGGGCCAATCACTGACCCTGACCTTGGAGTGCTACCCTCCTCAACCTTCATTGGATGGAATTCTCCCCTGAATGTCTTGTTCCCCAATAAAAGGCTACTCCTTGGCATGCTCCCCCTCTCTCTCTCCTGCTAGCCCTGAGTAATCCTTGCTACCCTACCAGGTGGTTTGAGGTGGGAGTTCAGAGGGGGAGCCGTCTCGGACCTGGTCATAGAAAAAGGTAACTGAGTCTGTGTGTTTATTACGATCTCACTAGCTAACTTTTATGCCAAGAACCTCTTTAATGAAACCAGTGTGCTGGCCGCATGGTGGAAGTCACTCTGACAACCGATGTCATTTTTTAAAGCCAAATATGACTCATTAATTAGAACGTATGAGATAGCAAAGCAAGAGCTCACTAATTAAATCAATTTACTTTAATTGATTTATAAGTTACGAAATTAATTAACTGAGGTAGGTGACTGAAAAACACAGTCAATCCCAAATGGATGTGGTTTCTGAATCAAAGCCAGTATAATAAAAACACTGTTTTGTATTTATCACAGCATAATAAATGTGATGCTGTTGCTTGTATGTGCTAAAATAAACACATGCTAACCTACAAGGCTGACAGGGAAGCAGCAGCCTGGGAGGGAGCCCTGCTTCTCCAGTGCCCACTGTGCCCCAGTCTCCTGTTTTACACTGAAGGACGCTGCTGCTGATTCTCATGCCAAGAGCAGGAGGGGGGGACTCCCAGGAAGCTCTATCTGGTAACAAAATCTGGGCTCTTGTCTGCTCCTTCAAGTTTGTGTGTTCACTTATGAATGCACACACACACACACACACATACACACACACACACACACACACACTCACACGCGGTTTTTTGCTTGTGCTCTGTTTTCATGCTGCTGGGGATGGAACAGGGCTTGGCCATGCCAGGCCAGTGCTCTGCCACTGAGCAACATCAGACCCACCATTCCTAAATAAATATGGATTTATTTACAATTTCCAGCGGCCATAATTGCTATGAAAAAAAGAAAACACAGAAGGGGGCGCCTTTCTGGAATCAGCATCTGCCACCTAGGGGAGGGGGCATCAGCTCCCAGCTGGCTGACCGCAGGCCCCAGGAAAACACTGCCGGCCTCATGCCCTGTGGAACTCAAGAGTGTCCGTGGGCTTGTTCAGTCAGTGACCTGTGACAGAAGCCTTGAGAACAGGCTCATGGTCACCATCTCTTTCGTCTCTACCCTAAGCCCTGTAACATTCCAGGCAAAGAGTGTCCATCAAAGTATGTCCCAGAGCAAACCTTCACGGACCTCCTGGGAGCTGCAAGGGTCCTGGGTGACGTGTGGCTCTTGTCAGTCACTGGGAGTTGGGGATCCTTGTTGGCAC